TGCAAGTACTCTTATGAAAACAATTCTTTTAACTGGGATTTTAGCTTATTCTCCCTCGTGTCATTCTAAACCATTATGAATTTTTTCTGTGGGGGAAAAAATATCTAAATAGCTGACTGACACTAACATTATTTACAACATTTCTGTATGCCAATGAAGAAATCAAGCCATATGGGTTTACAACTACATAAAGGTGAGTATATGATGGCAGCTTTATTTAAATTTTTGGGTGAATCATCTATTAAAGGGGTCATATGATGCGATTTCATTTTTTCCTTTCTCTTTAGAGTGTTACAAGCGTTTGCCTACACTGAACCTGATGGTTACTTTAAAAATGTATAATGTATTGACATGCAAGTACTCAAACAATTATTTTAACTGGGGTTTTAGCTTATTCTCCCTCATGTCATTCTAAACCATTATGAATTTCTTCTGTGGGGAAAAAAATATCTAAATAGCTGACTGACACTAACATTATTTACAACATTTCTGTATGCCAATGAAGAAATCAAGCCACATGGGTTTACAACTACATAAAGGTGAGTATATGAGTATATACTCAAACAGGAAAATAGTTTGTCAATAATGCAAGAAGACAATAACAGAGTGTAAAAATAGTCGCTGTTCTGATAGATAATGGCAATTTGTTCCATAACTTGGGCCAGCTACCGCAAAAGCTCCATCACCCCTGCATTGCAGTCTAGATCTGGGTACCCGTAGAAAATGACTGGTCTGTATACAGGTTCTGGGCTTTAGCCTCAAAATCCTCTTTCTTAGAACAGATACGATGGAGTCTTAAAAACTGGCTATAGGGTAACCCGCATTTTAAGGATGTTGGGTGGGCACTCTTAGCATGAAGAAGACTGTTCTTGGCTGTGTCTTTTCTATAAAGAGAAGAGACTATTTGTTTATCCACAATTGATATACAAGTGTCCAAGAAATTGACATTAGTGATACCCACATGATATGTAAATTTGATGGAAGGTCTTAGACCAGGGGTGGCGAACGTCGGTCCTGGAAAGCCGCAGCCCTGCAGAGTTTTGTTTCAACCCTAATCAAACACACCTGAACAAGCTAATCAAGGTCTGAAGGGTTATTAGGAAGCTACAGGCAGGTGAGTTTTAATTAGGGTTGGAGCTGAACTCTGCAGGGCTGCGGCTCTCCAGGACTGGAGTTCGCCACCCCTGTCTTAGACAGTTATATAGAGCAAATGCTTCAAAATCCCTTTCAGAGCCTTTGTAAATGACAAAACAGTCATCAATGTATCTCTTGAACAAAATGATGTTATCAAGAAAAGGATTATTGTTGAAAATATATGTCCTCCAAAAATACAACGAAATATAAATTAGCATAATCAGGAGCCAGTGGCTAACCCTAACCCTAGCCAGGAACTAACAATTGGAATTTGCATTGATCAAGTCCTAGATATGGAGAGTTTACACCTTTTTGGGACAGATGTTAATTTGCATGAAAGACATTGGGAAATGACACACCCTCTATAGTGAGCAACATATATCTAAACTCTTAGGATCTGTTTTAGCTTTAAGTTTACTTCTTGTAAGATTGAGACCAGAGACAATTCAAATGATACCAGACATGACTGTGAATATCACTTGCATTCATGTAGAACATTATATAATGCTATTGACCATTCTGAGTGAGCTGAGTGAATCAATTTAATAGGTAAGAAAGGGGTTTTCTCGCATCTTCTCTCCATGAGATGTGGAAACAGATTCTAATACACTCTGTGTTTCTCAGGCAATACAATTCTCTGAGGTTCGTCTAATCTTACAACATAAAGGTGATACAGGACAAATAACTAACTCAATCGGAAGGCTTATAAACACAAAACTAAGGAGCTAATTAACAAGGCACACCTGAACTGAGGACTCTAATCAATCTGTAACCCAGGAGACAAACAGGCAGGGTACAGAGGAGAACATGAACTAAATAACAAACCAAAACATAACAGAAAGAAAATGATTCAGAGCAGAACAGAAAAATGACAATAAGAGACACAAATGCATTTGTCTTATATTCAGTAGTTCAAGTATTTACATTTCAAATTTATTAAGACATTAGTGTTTTATATATATATATATATACGTGTGTGTGTGTGTGCATGTAACTATAGTACATATATGCTCAGTTATGTATTCTAAACATTTATTCCTAGTTCATTCTTCAAAACCAGTAATGTATAATTTGGTAATATACTGATGCACCACAGTTGCACAGAGAAACTGTCACTGTTAGGTTCTGTTTTATGGACTTTAGTTGGTCTCACCTGGTTTTCCTCTGTTTTGGTTGTAAATCTTGCCGTCTTTCAGTTCAGTTCTTTGTCTTGAGTTTTTTTTTTTTTTTTTTTAAGATTTAGGTTATAAGTTAAGTCAAATTCCAATGGGAACATAGGGGTTTGGAAAAGCAGTTAACATCTTGAATTTTAAGTGATATCAGAGCTCAAAAATAAGGACAGTAAGTGTGAGAGAGTTTTGGGCCACTTGACAGGCCAATTTTACATTTACATTTACATTTAGTCATTTAGCAGACGCTTTTATCCAAAGCGACTTACAAATGAGAACAATAAAAACAGTCAAAACTAACAAAAGATCAACAATATATAAGTGGCTTCAATAACAGCATGCACCAAATCTGATATGTGAAATAAAAATACGTTCAGAATCTTTATTCTGTATCATTTTTTTTTCTTTAAAATTCTAATCCTTTCTGTTTTTCTATATTCATTAGGTCAGCTATTCATTTACTTTACAAACGAGGTGTGTACAGAATTTTGTCATTGAGTCAGTTCACTCAAGATCAAGGCCAAATTTAGTCTCTTTTTTAAAGTAACATTTAATTGCAATCTTTATAACAACACATCACACAGAAAAAAAATCATCAATTGTGCAGGTAGTATTTATTTTAATACAAAGCATATCAAAATCACAATAATGACATTGATGTTATCAAGACAACATTAGACATATAAACCTAAAGCTAAACACTTGTGCACCATAAACCGAGCCATTTTAAGGCAAAATACTGGCTTTCAAAGGCACTTTGATGTGTGCTTCTGTCTATGAATTCATATGTTGATAAAATAATATTTGTACTTCTGTCAATAGAGAATGCAAAAGTTTGCTTTAAATGAATAGCTTTATTACACTGCACACCTGGATGAATTATAACGCTCTTCTCCATCATTTGATCATCACTGGCTGATTTACTGTCAGGCAAAATAATTTGTAATATTACATATAGAAGATGCAGGTTTTCGCACTGAAATATCACATGCAAAAGTGGTGCAGCTGAATTTGTCCTGTTCAACTGAGGTCAGCGGAGACACTTCAAAGCCACATATTTAAACACACAGAGTTTCTCATCATGAAAGACAGTGATTGAAAAATGTGCTGAAAATGTGAGCATGAAAATATACACACAAGGTAACTGACCAACATTTTGTAGGGGGCTTCAATCTTTCATGTGTGCAGAGAGCAGAAATGTTCATCATAGATGATTCTAACTGAGCACTGGTACACATGAACATCATTTATATACATTTATATAGTAAATGTCAAATGTCAAATATTAGTCATCCAATGTTATATGTATCTAAAGCATTGCGGCTCATCAGAATTATAATACACAGTTACATCTGTCGTATATTAATGTACATCAGTCAATCTTAGTACCACATTACAGTGAAAAAAAAAACAGAAAAAAAATACCATATCAAATATTTTCCAAACATTGGTTCTATGATGTAAAATAATTTTGTTTCAGAGCATCTATTTCAGTTATTTAAATTTCAGATTATATTAAAGGCTGTATTGGAAGAAATTATTTTAACAAATGTCGATATTTAGCATTCTAAAATATTTTAAAAGAATTGCAAAATAACAATAATCTGTATTTGAACTTATTTTGAAACAGCCTTTTTTTATATCACATGATAATATTATGGTAAATGTACATCATTACATTGTCTACAAGTCCATGTCAGATAAACAAAATGCATAAACAAAGAAATACACACAATACAATGACAAAAATGATTAGTGCAAAATATAAAATTTACAAAAAAAACAAGAAAAAAAAATACTGTGCTTGAGTCTGGGGCAGCGCCTCTGATGAGCAAAGACCTGTTGAATGTGTAGCCTTACACAGCTTAGTCTAGTCTACTGCCCTTTCTACTCCTCTAAACCTTAAAAGTAACCACAAAATTGGTCTCAAATCAATGTTAAAAAAGCCCTGTTGATTCAGAAAACCTCAGAAACAGAGTTATAAAAATGTACTCATACACCTGGAGGTTAGCTAGAGTGTGTGTGTAGGTCAAACACATGGTCATTGAGGATTTGGTTTGACATGTTAGACCTAACACAGAATACTATCGTCATCCTCCATGTGTTTCTTTGGATAAAGACGCTGGTCAGGAGACTTGAGAGAGTAAGATGTCTTAGAGAACAGAAACAGATTCAGACTTTGACCAGTTCTGTCCCATTCTAGAGACTGGCAGTGTCAAGCTAGTTTGCAGCATTCGCTTGATCTGACCTTTGTGTCATTGGTCATTGTAAATCCAAGCATCTCCTGAGTTGATGATGAGCATGTTGTGTGAATATCAGCAGAAAGCTAACTTTACTTTGAACTTAGAGCTTACAGAACAGGGTCTTTAACTGGTCAGATTCCAGCCGACTGATATCAGTCTCATAAGACTGCAGGTGTGCTGATTCTCTGGAACAAGGGTTTTAACTCGGTGTCATGTGCTAAAAGCATGCAACAAGATATTTGATTTGTTGCTCATCTTCCGTAGCCCTGCCACTGCACACACACTCTTAAAAAGAAGGTTCTTTTTAGGCATTGACGGTTCCATTAAGAACCTTTAAAATCCATGGAATATTTCCATTGAACAAAACAGTCTTTATAGTGGAAAAAGATTCTTCAGATTATTAAAAATGTTCTTCACTCTAGGAAAAAAAATGGTTCTTTTAAGAACTGATCACTGAAAGGTTCTTTGGAAACCCAAAATTGTTCTTCTATTGCATCACTGTGAAAACACCCTATTAGGAAGCATTTTTACAGAGTGTGCAGTGGTTGTTAAGGCAATGCCATGCGTTTACTACGGTGTTCTTGGTGCTTGCTTTCTGGCCCAATTCAAAAAAAGAAAAAGAAAAGCCCACTCCCATGTCTCTTACGTTTTTATAAACTAAATGTCTTTAAAAAGTAATACATCTCCTAAACAAGCCGTACAATTTAAGGGGTCATTCATGTCCATCACAAAAGTGTAAAACACAGAGGTATGGGGTTATTCAGATCACTAACACTAATGCCGGGAACACACTGCATGATTTTGCACGACTAGCTGGATTGCTGTTCAGTCTAGTTGCTGTTGTGTGCACACGACACGACAGAGGTTCACTCATTACACAACCTTTCAGGTGACAACTCTGGTCTACGAACTACATTTCACAACTGAACCCTCGCGAGAAGTGATACAGGAAATAATGTAAGGCCGCCTGTGAGACAGTTCTCGCGCCAGCCTGGATCTCTTCCTGTTAGAAACTGCAGCCCACAAGAAGCTTGCGATACAAGTTGTCTGTATGCTGGTTTGCAGTAAAAAAAGAAAATAAACCTGAACAGACAATGGTGGCTTGCAGAAGCCATGCGTGTTCCGTTGCAACTTTTTGACTCCTCCCCCTGAACTTCCCGCTGCCCTGTATCTTACTCTCTCTCATTGGCTATAGGTTATCGCTGATGTCATTTCCAGTCAAAACAGATTTCACACCGCAGGACGCAGGACATGATGCAGTTTCGGGCATTTGTCATTGATTTCCACAAAACTGTCGGTGAGTGAAAATCGGTGCTAAAATCGTTTAGTAAGTATGAACCCCTGCATGTATGAGCAACAGTAAGCAAACATCACTCAATACACCAATGATCTGCAATATGGGTTGATGCTGCGCACATCACTTGTCAATGTGGACACACAAATTACTTGTCGCTGGAAACTGATTACATAGTTTCTGGTTATGACAGAGTGTAAGACAAAAACTATGATTCATTTGATTTCTCATGACACAGGCTGAACATACAGGACAATTTGGAATGAAAAGGAAACATGTTTGTCTGAAAAGCATAAAAAAGACATAATTCACTTTAAACACTGAATGTCTGGCGTTTCTGTGCAAAATGATAGCTCAGCAGTCCACCAGAGTCAGTCTAGGTCCCTGTCAGCCGCGGCACTCTCTTCTTCTCGTCTCTGTCCTCCGGGAACGGCCCTTCAGAGGGCACTGGGGTGGAGCAGGAGGAGGGCACGGGCCCCGTCAGGGTCAGACTCTCCATGGAGTCGGCGTTGAGGAGGCGCTGGTTCTCATGCTGGGGGCAGATCACGTAGCGGTTGGGGTGGTGGACTTCTACAGTGGCCACTGAGCCCGAACCCTTCAGGGCCCCGAGAGCACACGGGACCCCCATTATGGGGTCCCAGCCCCCCATGGCCCCCAGTTCTCTGGAGGTCTCCTCCATATTGACATAGAGTATCTCATCTGGGTCTTGGCTTGGAAGATCTTCCAGGACCTTCTCGAGCTCGCAGCACATGATCTCGAAGCTCGGCCTGTCCTTCGGGCTCAGCAGCCAGCAGGAAAACATCAGGGAATAGCTGTGAAAACACACAGATGGCAAGAATGTCAAGCACTGCTTGTCTCATGATTGGTTGTGATGTTGTGATGTTTTTCACACAAAAAACAACAGTCTTTTCTTCACACAATGCTCTGGTTTGGCTGTAATACAGACACGTGTAGGGCTGGGAATCCAGAGCCGGATTTTATTCAGTACCGTTTCCAGGTTTTTAAATAACATACTGGATAGGACACCATACTAAAATACAGATGGTGTTACTTGCACTTCTATTCAGTAGTGCCACAAAAGAAAAAGATTTTGAGTTTGCAGTCTGAATGGCTGACCACTGGTAAAAGTGTTTAATATCTCTATTATCAAATAAATAAATAAATTATCAAATAACAAATATTGTCAAATAAATAACAAAAGCCTTTTCTTTGTTGCTGTTTCAGTGACACAGCAATAACCATCACATGACAATCACATCAGTCAAAGTTTTGTTGATTCTAGCACTGCATTGGTTCCTTCTATACGCATTCATAACCCAGCAGTGCTACTTCCTTTAAAGCAAAGCTTAAGCTGAGGATGAATGTAGTGTTAACCAGAGGTTAAATATATGTTAAGCCAGGTCCAAGCACAGTGTGAAAAGCCATGCAGGTTTTTGAAAGGCAAACTCACATGCTGTCGAGGCAGTCTGGAGGCTGTTTCAGACGGTTGCCCTGCCTCAGATAATCATAGATTTCACTGTTTTCCACTCCAGGGTACGGTGTCTGACCTCGAGTCGCGATCTCCCACATTGTCACTCCAAATGACCACTGCAGGACAGACAAATGCACCTTCATGAACGATATGAACGCTGAGAAAGAGAGCAGTAAATGATACTCACTACTGTAAAACAATAGATTTAGTTTCAGAGGTCTAACAAGTTATTACATTTTGATAGCTTTGGAATAATGTGCACCGATGCATCATTCTCAATAAGACCAGGCACATGTATTTTAATGTCAATTATGAATCTCTCTGTACATTGTAAATATTTTTTAATGCTCTAGTGTGAATAGGGATCAGAAACACGTCCGCTGCTACGCTTGTTCTAGCTCTGGAATGCTATGAATCGGTTCTTTATCATTCTGTTTATCAAATCGAGGATGAATTACCACGTCACTCTTAGTAGTGTACACTCTGTCCGCCAGACTCTCGATGGCGATCCACTTGACAGGCATCTTAGAGATGCGCCCTTGTCTGTAGTAGTCTCCATTATAGATCTTCTTAGACAAGCCAAAGTCAGCCACACACACATTCATGTTCTCATTTAACCTGGTTACCAGAGATCAAATAAAACACTCAAATCAATATAGTATGGAGATTTCTGTAGTAAGCAGCAGTGTACGAAGCACATGAGCTGTGTGTTTGTTTCCATCAGCACTCACATGCAGTTTCGAGCTGCCAGGTCTCTGTGAATGAAGTTTTTTCTGCTCAGGTACTCCATTCCTCTGGCGATATCTGTCATGAACTTCACCAGCATCTGAGAGGGCAGATACTACACGAAGGAGACAGAGATAATCCAAATATTTAAAACATCCATTATTTTTTTCAATGTAATGTAACATTAGTCAGTGAATGTTTTTTTTCTTGTTCTTGTGTTCTTGCTTTGACAGATAGGTGGAGCCAGAGACTTTCCCAGATTCTGCTCTGACCACAGACAATAACAGAAATCATAGACCAGTGGGCTTTTAAAAACACTTCTGCGGTACAACATGTTCCTGAGAGAATGCACTGTGCCTGATGTCTGTGCTTTAGAGGAACTTCATTTATGATTACAAAGGAGTTTCACAACTCTGACCATGAGGATGTGCATCTAGCCACAAAACAAACCAGTCATCAATTAGATCTTGACAGAGTCATTCACTGCGATTGCATCAGAGAAAACGGCCTTGCTTTCCTCCAGTGTTTACATTCAGCAGTGATGGTGTAATGTTTGTGAAAAAGACTTCTTTTAGAGAGAAATGCTGGTGCCAGATAGGACAAGCTGTGTCTGTATGAGCCACTGTTTCAAATTTGTGCATAACATCCAAAATATTAAACTTTTTTTTCACAGTTAGATTCAGATTTTTTTTTTTATTCAGATTTTTTTTTTCAGATAAATACATTATTATTTAAAGGAATTGTTCACCCAAAAACAACATTTACTCACATTGATGTGGTTCCAACATATTTATTTCTTTATTTAGTTAGTATGAACATTTTTATTTATGTTTTCATTTTATGAAAAAGAGCATGATCATGAACATCTTTTCTGAAAGAAAGTCACACAGGTTTGGAATGACATGAGGGTGAGCAAATGATTACAGACCTTTCATTTCCAGGTGAACTGCCTCTCTTTTAATCTCTTAATCGATGCTAAAGCACTCTTCTGATCTACATCTTAATGCAGTTTGCCATATATCGTTTTTATTTGCCCGATCCCCTCAGAGCTTTTCAGTGCACTCACCACAGGTGTGTCTCCGAGTCTGGAGTACAGCAGGTAGCTGTGGAGGTCGCCGTGCTTCATGTAGGGAAGAATGACGACAGGAGACGGATAGCCTTCACTCTCCACCGTCTGCAGACACACACCTGTCACACAACACAAACCATCATGCTCATCCAGCCTGTCTCACACTAGTTCTTACTGAATAATCTGTTTTACTCTGAAGATATAATTCATGTGAAGAGGCACGGGTCAAAATTGCTGATGTCTGTTTTTATTCTGAGCTCATTCAAGTCTGCTGCAACTTCTTTCATGTCCTTATTTCTGTGATTAAAATATTCTCAGCTACTGAATACGATGCACTTCAATAATTATGTGTATTAATATACTGTCTTAATGTGTTTCCTGAAGTGTTAGACCATGTGACTGGCCTCCTGTTACTGTATTTGTCGAGATGGAGGAGGAATTCATGTTAATGAAAGTAAAACTTTCTTGTCATTTTTTTTGCTGGGAGACTGAAAGAGTGAACATATTTACCAAGAAGCCGCATGACGTTCTGATGATCGAACTCCTTCATGCATGCCGCCTCTCTCAGGAAATCTTCCATTTCAGTGCGAGTGCAGATAGCGACTGAGCAAAACACAGCAGGAGGATGAGGTTAGTCTTATGAGAATGATCACAGGTGTTTTCAGAGACGCTGCAGTCGCTTTTGACTCACTTTTCATGGTCTTCACTGCCACTTTGAGCACAGAGTCCTCCTGAGTGAGCGAACCCTCCATCACAGAGCCGAACTCACCTACACACACACACACACACGCACGCACAGACACACACACACACACACACACACACACACACACATCCCGTTCAGTCCAGACAATACAGCACGCGGTTCCCTACGGCAGTTACGTAACGCTCACCTTCTCCAAGTGTTTTTCCCAGCGTTAGCTTGTGTCTGTCCACCATTACGTCCTGCAGCTTTTGCTTGAGCTCATCGCTGATCCCCAGAGAGTTCACTGAGAAAAGAACGAGCCATCTGAGAGATCAGCATCCGATTTCAAAGCTGCTTTGAGTGTTTTCAACAACATGTGAAAAAAACAATAGATTCTTTAGAGAGAAACCTGGTTTTGACACTGACACAATGCTGTTTCCTCTCTGTACTGTAATATGATCATCAAGTGACACAATCAACCAAAGTCAGCTGAGAGTTAAAGGTGATACCTTGCTGACGCTGAATACACAATGATTTTTATGTTTACACTCGCTTTATTTTAAGTGTCTGCAAGTTTACATGAACTTGCTTATCATGTGTTATGTACATGTAAATCTGAACCTTTTTGAAGAGACAATTGTCTCTTTTATTTCTATTCAGATCACAAAATGAGAGGTACTATTGGAATGATATTTAGGACACAATTCAAAAGGAATTGCAAATTGTATTTGCCAACCAGAAAAAAGAAGCAAAAAGAAAACTGCTGTGAAAATTGTATTTGCAATTGCGTTTTCAATTTTGGACGCATACATTGTGACATAATCCAAATCCAATTGCAAATTGCGCATTTGTGTTTCCATTTTCTTTTCCATTTATGTAATATGTCTGCCAAATTTTAAATGGAAATGCAAAGTCCATTTGCAATTGCATTTCCAAAGTCTTACGAGTTATGATTCTGTCTTTTTGGAACAGCAATAGAAAATCACCATTTGGTGTTTCACTTTCTCCGCGTCCTCCAACCCGCACAAAATTCAATGGAATCACAATCCCCTTCGCACTTGCATTTCCAATGCGTATCACAGTCAGCTGTCAATCAGTCTCGAGGGCGGGGTTTAGTGATCTAGGGGGAAGGTATGCCACGCGTTTACTGGTGGAAAACAAAGCTCCATTTTCATTTTTATTCAATCCACAATCCAAGAGATCAGAAAAAAAAAATCACATTCAATCGCAGCTCATGTTCAATTTGTAGGAAGATGCTCTGAATTCTGCTTCATTTTTCTGCAACATTTTTTATTCATAAACTATATTTGTATCTAATTGACATAATAAATTATCAGACAATTTCGAGTCGCACACAGGACGAGAAGTGCAGAGCAACTCACAGGTATCACACACTAGCGCTGTGTTCAAACATCTAATCACAAAACAGGCAAAAGTTCACTTCAAATATGAACAAAGTGGTGTTTATGAGTTTGGTGTTTGACAAAACAGAGCAAATCGAAAGAAAAAGTGTGATCCATGTTATAGCTCTTTATATAAACATACAGACTTTATTCAAGCCACAGATAAACATTTTTCTTAAAAATGCACAATACACGATCAGTCATTATGAACATTAACAGTAATTTAGGACAAATATAATGTGATTTAATGCAAAACGATTGCCGCGGACGGTGTGCATATAGGCCTACTCATAGAAAACAGTTTGTTTAAATTTTAAAGAGGTGTACAGCGCTGCGCTTCCTTCAGTTGCGAGGTTTCACAGATCGATCTTCATTTCTTCTTGACATTGCTTGCAAACACAGCAGTCTTCTTTTGGTTTCTTTTGTTTGAAGGTGATAAATATTTAGTTCCAAGTTTTTGTCTTTGTTTGAAGTGGAAAAAAAAAAGATTTACAACTTTTTTTGTTGCTAAAACAGACACATTCATTGGATATTTCTCGCCATTTTCCTCATAGGACTGAATAAAAATGAAAATGAACTAGTAAACACGTGGCATACATTCCCAATAGATCACTAAACCCTGCCCTCGAGACTGATTGACAGCTGACTGTGATACGCATTGGAAATGCAAGTGCGAAGGGGATTGTGATTCCATTGAATTTTGTGCGGGTTGGAGGACGCGGAGAAAGTGAAACACCAAATGGTGATTTTCTATTGCTGTTCCAAAAAGACAGAATCATAACTCGCAAGACATTGGAAATGTAATTACAAATGGACTTTGCATTTCCATTTAAAATTTGCCAGACATATTACATAAATGGAAAAGAAAATGGAAACACAAATGCGCAATTTGCAATTGGATTTGGATTATGTCACAATGTATGCGTCCACAAATTGAAAACGCAATTGCAAATACAATTTGCAATTCCTTTAGTATATTATTGTGTAATATAATTTCATAAGGTACATTATAAAACGGATAGTTCCGGTCCTTGATTCTGATTGGTTCGAAGCTGTTGTAAATTACTCTACAAACATACACCTTTGTTTACTTCTGTGTGTTGCTCGGCAACCACTTTGTTTGAACCACAACTGTTTCTGAGGAGCTACATTGTTTGGTGGAAGAATACTGTTTTTATTAATATCATTACACTTTATTTGCTCTGTTTTATTCTGTGAAACCTTACTACGTATATGGAATAACCATTTTATAAAAGCAATAAGCCCCGTGAAGCCGTGGTTTACAGTGAATTTATAACAGCTAAGAGGGTTTTAGACTCTGCTTCGCGTCGTACCTAACAACGCCCCTTAGCTGTTCACTGTAAATTCACTGTAAACCACGGCTTCTTGGCTTATTGCTTTATTTGAAAACAACTGAAAGTCACATTTCTTTTATGAGAATGAATTTCACTCACAGAGAATGTCCGTGTCAAAGTCAAGATTTAACAGAATTTTTTTTTTTTGCTTAATATTATAATAATAATATTAAACAAAATAATAATAATGGGACAATATTCTCGTGGTCTGAGTTCTCAAAAATGTGATATCCTTGTGCATAAAATGAACCCAATTAACAATAAAATGAACCAAAGGCAGAAGAGCATGTGCGCTAAAAATCAAGCCTCACCCTTGAGTTTTCCTAATTCAATATTCTGTTTCACTCTGAAACACAATATGGAAATAGTTAATTTGTTCTTGAGTTTTGTACATATAATGTTCATATAATCTCAAGTGTGATGAAAGTGAACCAATTTGGCCTGCATGGAGTAATGAAAGAATGACAGAAGAGCTGTGATGATTGTGACACAAGCAGCTGTTTATATTTTCACTGACATGAGATGAACTAGCTCTTCCCAATAACCTCTATCTGAAGAACGCCACTGACGCTCCTGAAGCATGAACTCAGTAGAGGAAGTGCAAACTTTGTTTAGCAGCAGTGTGTCAAAACACCATATGATTTTTAAAATGTTGCAAGATTGTTTTGTTCTTCGAATGAACCCAGATGGGAATCAAGACAGAAGGTGGGATAGAAAGAGAGAGAGTGCATAAAAAAGAAAAACAGAAAAAAGGGCTTGTTATGGGCTTGTCCAGATGACATAAACCCTCCAACCTTTACTAGTGCTCAAAACAAGCTCACGCTTTCATGACTGTCCTCAACCGCTATCTCACAACACACGACGTCAGGCTTAACTGGAAGGTTCTGGATCAGAAACCAAATGAAATGCAGACCTTGAGATGGTGCAGACGTTCATGACAGCAGTGAGATATGCATGAGAGTTGCAGTCAAGATTTGTATCCACTGGAGTTCGGCATGAAACACGACTCCTTTACTCTGAACTCATTCTCAGGTCACGGGTGTATCAAAGATCAGAAAAACAAATCAAATGCACTTGAATGTCTATTCCTGATGTTAAAGCAATATTTCAGGTTCAGAGCAAGTTAAAGGGGAAGTGAAGCAGTCAGATAAGTTTACATTATTTAGTAAACTGATTTCCACTTTAATTAAAAAATACATAACAAACACAATTAATGTAACCGTTTTAAAGAAAAAAGGATGTTTTGTTATTGCTTTTGGAGCACGGGCGCACAGACGTCACGGGGATGGTTCTCTCCGTTGGCCAGTGAAGAAATATAAGCATTTCTTTACTGTTTGAATGCACAAATGTGCTTGGTTTTCACCATAATTGCATGAATATCGAACACCAAGGTGTCTAAATCACAAAGTTTTGATCATGGTATCCCAAACATTGTTCTCATAACACGAGGTGCAACGTGATGTAAACAAAAAATGCTTCATATATAATTCATGTGGCATCTTTATTGATATGGCAGTCCTTTCAGACATATTTGCATTACACTGGCTCGTTCACCAGTCGTGGTATGTAAGATATTTTATGTTCACCTGTGAATACAATATGCTTACCTGCTGTAACTAATCACCTATCTGAATGATCGGCTTCCTCAAGTTTATCATTCTAACATTATTATTTTAAAGTTGATCATTGTTTTAATCCTTGCCAATGTAAACATTAAAGTGTTTTAAGCCATTCAAGCGCAAGACAGTGCTAAAGAGATTTCAATGCGGTACTCGCATGCTGCTGATACATCACATGAACGCACACAAAAACCGCAGCTCGGACAGCATATGCGAGTACCAAATTGAGTTATCTTTCTTGTCTTCTTGAGCAAATGCACACAAAATGTTGACTGAATGGCTGTCTTGACGAGTCTCCACGGAAACACGCTCTTCACCCCAAACCAGCGTGTTCACATCTTCTTCCACCCATAACGCTAGTACTGCTCGGTCTCCTCGCCGTATCGGCTCATATGCATAAGCAATTGATTTATTATGGACTCAACAGTCCTTTTAAGTTTGTCTTCCTCAATTTCAAAACAAGCATGTGTTCAAACAGTAAAGAAATGCTTATATTTCTTCACTGGCCAACAGAGAACCGTCTCTGTGACGTCACACGTGGTGATACTGCAAGATGGCTGCACCCTTGCTCCAAAAGCGATAATAAAACATCCTTTTTTTCTTTAAAACGGTTACATTAATTGTGTTTGTTATATATATATTTTTAATTAAAGTGGAAATCAGTTTACTAAATAATGTAAACTTGACTGACTGCTTCACTTCCACTTTAAGCTCAACTGCATTAACGGCATAATGTTGATTATGACAAAAATTTATTTTTACAGTTTTTCTTGATTGCTAAAACACTATAACCAGGCTTTTGAACTAAAATTTCAAAACCATAACGCCATTTTTCAAAAAGCACACCCATTTTGCTGAACTATAAACACTATTCCCCTGCTTTAACACATGAGTCAGATTTGGTGAACTGTTACTGCAAAACTCTAC